TTTAGAGGCACTCTGAATCCAGTGGCGTAGTGATTTTTTCAATAAAAAAATCGCTAATAAAAAATCCCGATTTTCGACTAAGAAAAAATATCGTAGTATGCCCTGAAACTTTAATAAACAATTCAAATTTTGTCCCAAGGTAGACCTTTCAGTATTTGACATTTAAAAAAAATTATTAAAATCGATTTACAAACCGAATCTACCAAACCAATAAAAAGCATAGGTAATTGAAATTTACTTGCGCGAGTCTTCTCACTGTTGATAGCGTTAGATCTGGTAGGTGTGCTGGTCTGACTGGATGTCGATGATTCCACAGGTATGGGAATTTTTCCTTTATTACTAACAAATACAGGCTTCGACGGACTTCTGTTTCTATTTGCATTTCGTGGTTCTGTTGGTTCAGGAAGTGGAAGTTTTCTTCCTCCTCCTTGATCTTTCGGGGGATCTGGAAAACTTGCTTTCTGTTGACTATTGTTACCTTTTTCGAATCTTGGGGGAGTGGACTGTCCATGGAAAGGTACACTCAGGTCTGGGGCACGTAGTGGAAGGGTCGGTTTCGAATCCACGGAACGGATATCTGGACCACTGATCAATGTTCCTAGTTTTTGCTTGAACGCGGCTTTATTCTGATCGTTATTGACTTTGGGTTTCGGTTTTGAAATTATTGGTTTTTCCAAATGGTTCCGTGTCGATTTGGAAAACTCTTGTTTCGGTTTGATAGTGTGGTCCTCCAAAATCAAGGATGGACTTTCTTTCAGATCCTTTATGAAATTGAATAACACCTTTTTCTGACTTAATGGAAGTTTCCATCTTATTGTTTCAAATTCCGTTAGCTCCTGGAATGGAATTTGAAAGAAGTAATTCTGGAACTTATTAAGTGATAGGGTTTATTTACTCACTATTAGTTTTTCTCCGGATATATCTTTATCGCTCAAAATTGCTGCCACTAGTCCGTGTCCTTTCTGAAAAAAGATTGGGAATATTTCAAAATTTGTGAAGATATTCAAATACTTTTCAAGGGTTCCCCCCACATAAATAGGTACAAATGACAGTGTAGTTTGAATGATCTCCTTTTACCGCTCAAAAGACAAAAGGGAACTGGATGGCAGCAGTGGAAGCGGTAATTACTGTGATTCTATAACTTTGTATACAGGGTGTAACATAAATACGTTAAAATATTCAAGTGACGTATTCCTGAGACAGTTTTAAGAAAAAAAGTATATATGAACTTGTGTCCGAAAATGCTTCGTTTCCGAGATACGGGGTGTTGAAATTGAATTTTTTTGTTCGCTTTTTGAAAGTAACTCTTGCAAAAAATGAGTTATTTGCACGAAATTCGATACCCAAGTTTTTTTGGACGCGGAAAATCGTAATTTCGTATTAATTTCCATATAACATCTAGAGGGCGCTGCGTGCGCTGTCATTATTTATTTCAAATCATCCTAACTTTTTTGACAATACTTTGACAGTAATTGGTACTTTTCATGAAAAAACCTAATTCCCATACCTTTTTGAAGTAAAAAAGGTACACCTCCTCAACAACGCTGGAGGTGATCGTTTTCGAGATATTTACAATTTTGTATATCGATGCATATTACTTTATAGCCAAATTTGATTTCAATAATTTTTGTCACTCTCCGCTTGCAAATTAAGTTAATTAAATATTTCAACGTACTTATGTTACACCGTTGTAGAACTTGTTGNATTCACCATATTTTGTTTCAGAACTCATCATTTCTTGATTTCATGTTTTGACATTATGTATGATGAAATTATAGTAAAGTGTATATGAAAACTGTAAATGATATTCAATATTCAATAACCTTTTGACACAAACGGTCTCACCTCTTTGAGCTTATCTAATAATTGACTGGCTTCCAAAAGTCTCACTCTTTCCAGACTCATTGTTTGAGTAACTCTCTAGGTGGGGTCACAGCACTCACTATTTACAATAAAAATTAATCATCGGGGTATTTAACGAAGACGATCATGATGAGGAATGTTAAAGGAAAATCCCAATATAACAGTGTTACTGAATGATTAATCTATAACGTGCAGTATATAAGCAGAAGTAAAACCCTGCTGCGAATGATGAGATCCGCGTCAATCTCATATCAACTTCCTGTTTCCTCGAGTTTGGTTTTCAGATAGTCTCTACTGATGAACTCGAAATGACTTGTATAGTTGTTATAAATAATTCAACAACCAGAATGTGGTTTACTCTTGATATGAGTGTTACCCTGAACTAAAAAATGAAATGTTGAATGGTGAGAATATAGTGGCATTAGTTTGATATATTAGTCAACGTGATATATCACATGATTCATGTTCATATTATTCAGGAAGGGAGAAGTTAACTCTCGGCCGTGGGTCAATTGGGCTAGTCACCTGGATCTCCATTTTCTCTGGCGAGGATCCTTTTCTGTAGAGAGAAAAGAGTACACGCATGTAATCCGTATGGAATTCGGTATTGGCAAATGTATAACAGACCACATGAAAAGGGGACTGCGGGTATCCGTAGGAGTATGAGTCATGTTCATAATATACAGGAAGAACTTAACTATCAGACGTGGATCAATTGAGCTAATCACCTGGTTGACTCAATACTCTGTTTCAGAATCTCGAGAAAGGGGGAAGGCCCTTCTCGCTCTGAATACGCAATGTGGCCAATACCGGCTGATTTTCGTCCTAATTCTGTAAACAATACAGATTCAATCCGTATATTTGTTTCTCTTTCCTAATTTTTCAAAGCTGTTTTTTATTTGTATCTTTGATTTTGAAGAGTCCATGTCTGGAAATATTCTAAAAATAAGTTAAATTCAATTTCAAGATCATATCTAATTCATAACATACGGAAATACTTGTTTAAACTTCTTTTTCAACAACTATCTATTTCATCCAGTAGCGGTTGAAACTTTTGGTGTTTATGGCCCGGAGTATCTGTTATTCGTTCATGAACTCAGAAGGAGAATAGGCCAAGCAACAAAAGATCACCGTTCTACCTCTTTTTTAATAGAAAGAATTAGTATCACTATTCAACGTGGCAATGCTGTTTCAGTCCTTGGAACTATACCTCCTCCACATAATTTTGATGAGATCATGCATTGCCCTAATTTCAGTACGGAACTGAAACCTCTTCGAAACAAGCCGAGATATGTGAATATTCATCAGCCTCCTATCAAGGTTTATTTACAAGTGATTGATGCACCTTCTTCTTTTTCAGTGCGGTCAGTGGACTCAGGTCATTCTTGCCCCCNAAAATCCATATTATTTTCTATCCTATTTGGAAAATTCATCACCTTGAAACTTTCTTACAAATAATTTGAATTCCAAGTCTGTTCAAAAAACCGTTAGGTAAAATTTCACCATTAGGTACTCTCGGTGAACTTATTCTTGTAAACGATGTTAAAACTGTTTACTATTTAATAAATATCTAATTTGAATAAAAATCTTGGATATCAGTTGATCCATGCAAATTATCTGTCAAATATTCGAAATGAATGATTATTAGCGCTATTATCCACAGAACTACAAATTATCCTCAATTCTGATATCATGTCACCAGTTGAGATAATTTGAACAAGCAGATCGCTTTACAAGGTCGGGCCCTTGGAACCCAACTGGTTGGATTGAATGCAAATGTTAACGATGTTCTCAAAAAAGAAACTAACATCAGGTAAATCGATATTGAAGTTGCTTTCCGAATCGGTAGGAGAAAATTCCAGCTTTCCTTCGTAACAGTTATGTGAAAAACTACATGAGTGCAACAGGCTTTACACGCCCTTTATGCGGCAAATACCTGCCAAACTACAACTTTTCCAACAATCACACTTTGAGTACAGATAATCTGTTTACCACCAAGCAATACTGTGATTGGATATGAATGCTAGTGGCTGCTAAAAAGTCAATAGTCAGACAAGCAAGAACTATCGCGAGGAACTTCAAGTTCTGCCAGAAACCTTCCCACTTATTCCAAGAGCTTCGTCCGCATATTTTGGAAGATTCATATCACTGATCATATGGAAGTCTGGAAATACATATTTGTAGATTCACAGTCACAGTCTTTGAGCTTCGAAAGCTTGACCCCAATGACCTGCGCAATCAGAATGAATTTTGAGGTATCCTTATGGGTTCTAAGAACTTTGTTGTTCCTGATCCAAAAGGCCTAACCACTTATTGTTAGAAAAAATACCCAGCATCCAGACCAGAGTTTTCAACTCATGGATAGAGAGGGAGCAGCCGATTCCGGATTGGTTTTTGGAAAGCAGATAGATTGTTATTATTTTTGGCTTAACCAAAACATTACAGACCGATAACATTCTTGATAACGAGTTATAATTGGTTTACGGAAATCTTATACACTTCAATATTCGTCGCAGTAACCTCTCTAGAGTCTAGATGTATTACCGCAAAGCATCTGATACATCAAATGTGTTCATCACTCATTTGTTCAGACGCCTTGCGGTACCCAATAAAATAGTGAGATGCTTTGAGCAAAATAATATACAATCAGGCAAGATTCCAAGAGAGGGTGGGGTATATTTCTGACACTCCCTTCAGCCAGCGTCGGACTGGCTATATAGTCGGGGTGGCAACTGCCAGAAGAAACCTGGTCTGGAAGGGCCTCCGACCATCAAAACAGCAAAGATACCTTTACTTCCACGGGCGATGAGCCGATGCAAAAGTTCTTCTACAATAACATCGAAGACCTTGGTTTATCTAAGCAACTGACCCTTTCTTTCCTCAGCTCAAGTGTTATTGAGTTAGAAATTGAGGTGTTCGTCATAACCTGTCAGGATAGTCAGGATAGTGTCTTCAACACCTTTATTTATCATGGTCACGTGATGGATATAGAGATGCCTGGAACCTTTATATCCATCGACATAACTCGGCCTTAGGAGCACTTTACTACCACCTGAGACACCGGTGTTGTCTTAGGCTCCAGGGGATATTGAATCGGTTGTAGATCATTAGAAGTACTGAATTCATTGGAAATATTCGTAACCAATTAAGTTTGTTGTGTTTTCCTCTATTGATGCATTCCTTTTTAAACATTTTTGAATGACTGTTCAAGTTGATTTTGTGATCAGTGTTAACTCCCAAGTATTTTACTGATGGCCTCCTTCTTACCATTTCGTTGTTGATCTTATAAATCTTTTAATTTTCATTATTGTACTTATATACTTATATACAACCTATGTGATAGAATATTGTGTTTAGTGTACTAAATTTATTATTGTAAAAAATGTAATTACGTGTTGTGTTACCACATACAAGTTGTTGAAGCTCTCAACAACTTCTGTTGGTTCATTGTAATGTTTATTGTATTTATCGTGTAATACTTTAGTATGTTCATTTACTATCAATAAACAACATTCATTCATTCATTCATCTAAGCAACTGACCCTTTCTTTCCTCGGCTCAATTGGGATTGAGTTAGAAATCGAGGTGTTCACCATAACCTGTCAGGATGGTGTCTTCAACACCTTTATTTATTATAGATATAGAGATGCCTGGAACCTTTATATCCATCGACATAACCCGGCCTTAGGAGCACTTTACTACCACCTGAGACACCGGTGTTGCCTTAGGCTCCAGGGGATATTGAATCCGTTGTAGATTATTAGAAGTACTGAATTCATTGGAAATATTCGTAACCAATTAAGTTTGATGTGTTATCCTCTATTGATTCCTTTTTAATCATTTTTGAATGACTGTTCAAGTTGATTTTGTGATCAGTGTTAACTCCCAAGTATTTTACTGATGGCCTCCTTCTTACCATTTCGTTGTTGATCTTTATTGTAGGTAACTCCTCTGAAGGGTTGTGATAAAAAATTATAAATTGAGATTTTTTCGGGTTTGGTCTCAATTGCCATTTATTGAACCAGAGCGTTGAACCTCATCTGTCGACGACGCTTTGCAGTTCCTCTATTGTGACTGATAGCGATTAGTTGTGTGAAACTAAGGCAGTGTCATTAATTCTTATCTTTCAAATTGGGATTGTTCATATTATAGTGAAGTGTAGATAACGGAGAGCCTTGCGGAACTCCTTGTTGGAAAGCAAATTTTTTGAAGAATAAATTTCTGTCTCTGACGGTGAGGGTTCTATTATCAAATTATTTTTTTTATTATCCGAGAAGATGGATGGGGGTGTTCAATTCTTGAAGTTAATACAACATTCCTTCATACCAAACACTATCAAAAGCTTTGTTGATATCCAAAAATAGTGCCGCCGAGTGTAAGTTGGTCATGCGTACTGTTTGTATTATGACAAATTAAAGAATTAACCGTCTTCAACAAACTTATTTTTAACAATACTTCACTATCACAACTAATGTATATACAACACTTAATAACTAACGCTCAATTTATCTTCACTGTTCGAATTCCTTGTTAACCGTTAGATTCGCTTTCTCAATACCGACTCCGCTCTGTACGTGAAGCCGGCCTTTATATCGGCAACGATCACTCCAGATCTCTCTAGCCGTTTCGGCACTCATCTATGCTTTTCGCGGCGGTTCGCGGTGAGTTATGTGTTTGCTGGCTGAGATATCGGTCAGGGCCGGCGATGTTAAAATTATTACAGGGTTGTATTTCTTTTTTCTCTAAAACCAAATTGATACATCGGTATATTGATATGTTCACCGACTTGATATTTAATGATTTTCTCAAAGTTTTCCCCAACACTGTCAGTAGTTGCAGGTCTGTGAATGCTCTGCATTGGGTAGAAGTACAAATAATGAAACATACTAATTACTCTTTCAAATTCAAGAGCTATTTTTTTAATTCTCCCCGTTCATTCTCTCCCATCATTTGCTGAAATAATACATTCTCTGAAAGTTTTTTACAACCTCACTTACAAGTATGATCAAACAGAAATCACTCTGCCCTGAACCATGAATAAATTGAGACAAGATGAAAACTGGCTAGACTAGAAAACTTTTTGAAACTTGATCTAATAGTGATTGTGACCCAGCAAGGTTTCCCTATCTGGTAGCTGTCTCACTTTCATACTTCCATCGGCGCCACAAGAGAAGAGGCGAGAATGGGAATCGACATACAACTGCGTTACTCCTTGGCCAATGTTCTTGAAGAAACTGCTTCTGGCATGCTCAGCAGGAAGAGACAATAGGACGTTTGGTACTGCAACTCCCCAAATCTGAAAGTTTTTCAAACTTTATTCATTATCCATTGTCATGTACCTGTTTATTATTTTAACATAGATCTGGTATTCGGAAATAAAAACCTCGTCAAAAACCCATGAGACACATTTAAACTGAAGGGTCAGGTTAGATCAGATACAATGTGAGCGAGTCTATTTGACACTGAAAACCTGATTCGGTCCACGATATAGGGCAGACACAAAGTATGTACTCTGCTGTTTCACCGTCTTCCCAACAGATGACACGCCGGATTTTCCGACAGTTCAAATATCTTGATATGATAATTCACAAAATAATGACCTTTAAGTAGCCCTAATAGACAAAGTAGGTCATCCCTACTAAGGTCTAACAATCGTTTGGCGACATTCACCGAAAGATGTATAAACGCCTAACTAAGGAATACTAGATATTCTCTAATACTTTTTGATTTCGTTGAACTGATTCTTAAGATGCTTGCCCATTGGAACTTTACAGAACGTAAAACAGTAAAGAATCAATCCAAATACAAATTATTATAGAATACAATTACTTTCATCACTTCTGGAATGACAATTTACCAACCTCAAAACTAACTCGTCTCACAAACATTATCGACTGTGGAAGAAAACCAAAGAGTTCAAATTTTTACAGATCCGTGAGATTTCTTGAACATACTCAATAGCTATGTATGCTAAACTCCTCCAAGTAAAATGAAGACCATATATTATTATTATTATCTGTCGAAGAAGTAGAGAGATGAAAATAATCAGCCAAGACCATTTTTTATTATTATAAAAGCCAAATTATCTTTGTTTATGGTTCTGTGCTTAGTTATCATTAGGAGTTTCACTGAGTGGGGATCGAATGGTATTCTTGCCCTCAACAACAATATTTCGTCAAACGAACTGACCTTGATGTCACCGTCGGCGGATCCCGTAGCGAAATAGTCCTCGTGGGGATCGATCGCAATACACTTGACAGCATTCTCGTGCGCCGTGAACTTGTGCCTGATGTTCTTTGATCTGACATCGATCAGGCAGACGTCGCCTTTCTTGCCAGCCGAAATGAGCACTTGATGTTGCGGAGCGAACACGAGGCTGCTTGCCCCCTGATCGTGGCAGGTGAACGCCATCACCAGGGCCTTTCCGTGTGGGAGGATGGAGTCCCAGATGCAGACGTTTTTACTTTCGGAGCTGTGGCCGGCTGAAAACAATAGATAGATGGATAGATAGATATAATTTATTTATCTTTTGTGCTACATTACATAGAAGGGATACGTCAAATAATATTTTGATCTGATATAAAACGTANGCACCTGTGCAACGTCTTCGACTTGGAAGATTCTTCGCAAGTTATTTCCCACTATGAAAAGCAGAAATTAATTTCGTTTGGTCGATCCGACCAACCGATAGACCGGTTTCTGGGTGATTGCCCCATCATCAGTACCGAGCATGATCTCTTCAGAACGGTGTGAACCGTCTGAGTACCACGAGTCGGAATAATGACTAATATTCCAGAGAGGTGCATTGTGACATGGTAAAGGTTACCCCTTTTCGCTCATGCAGACCAAATTGAAGACGTTGCACAGGTGCCTGATGGTTTTACTTCAACTCTCTGCGCGGCATTAGCTGATTCAGTTGTTGTTTTTTCGTTGGGTATCTGCCACACGTACCTACAAAGTCGTAGGTCTGCATGAGAGGAAAGGGTCAACCTTCAGCATGTCACAATGCACCTCTCTGGAATATTATTCATTATTTCAGTTCATTATTTCAGTTTCGTATAAGTAACATTTAGTTTTCCTTACCTCTTGAAGATGCTAACTTGGTTGGTGAAACTCGCGTCGAGAATAGTATATTGCAGTTCTGGTGTTAGGGAAAAGTACTTGTTTTGAACATTTCCTCGAGTTGAAACGTCATGTAATTCAAGTGGGGAGGTGATGAATCAGATGAAATGTTGACAAGAATTGACATTTTGTATGGAATGAAATATATTTGACCAGTGAAGTCTTGTGATCACTTAATTGTCAATTTCTATATTTAAATTGATGTATCTTTGAAAACAAACAGTATTTACTGACAAATTTTCATCTTTAAGATTCGTAGATAGTGATAAAGAATTAATAACGTAAACTCACCAGTAGCTAATAGACTGCAGGATCCCAAGAAAACGAAATCACTGATTCCCTTGTTGTGACATTGTAGAGTCTGCAAAAGAAAACAATATTAAAAAATACCCGCTTCTTCCGAAACGAAAGATGTTTTGAACTTACAAAGAAAGGACGAGTAGCGTTGGCACTGAGACCAACTTGGAACAAACTCAGATTTCCATCAGAATCAGCGACACCGAATTTATTGCCGTGCTGCGAAAACCTGACTCGTGTCACCTTGGCATAAGTGCCTGGAGGTCTGGGAACCGCTACGGGCTGTTGATGGCCCCACTCCCATAGGTGCACGGATCCATCGTGACCGCCAGTCAAATCTACAAATTCACAAGAAGTTATTCAAGCTCTGTGTTCGGTTCGGAAGTTTGTTATTTGGCTGTCGGATTAGTAAAGTATATAAATATGCCAATTCTGTAACTTCTGGACATATAAATGTGTTAGAGACCTTGTTGCCACTTCCATTATTATGGAACAAATCTATTATCGTTAGATAATGTACAAATTAATCCTTTTTCTAATTACGTTCGCGAGGCTAATGATCAATGTAGTCGATGCCGATGACACCAATAAAAAAAATTACGTTCGTCTTGTTTGACCTTCTCGGTACTTCTCTACTCTATAACCAAAAATGTTGATTAGTTTTTTACTTTTTTTATTTTTCTTGATCTAATTAACGTTGAAAACTTTCGTTATAATTTTATGTTGAGAAACAAATCGACATTGTCAATAAATAATTCTCCTGACGAAGAGTGGATATTTTTTGGCACACAAGTTTCATAAGAAATGCAAATATATTTACCAAATAAAATGACAAAATTCAATTATCGGTTAAATTTGTTCAACAGCAAGTTTATGAAACCAACTTTTGACCACAAAATATACTGTTGAATCCTTTCAACTTCCAAGTAAGGAAACGTTTCTTTGACCTTTCCGAGAAAACAGAGGAGTATAAGATCTCTCTAAATCAGAATACTCAAAACTAAATTTTAGTTACTGGTCACTTCTTGAAGTTCAACACTTCAATAAAGTTTGCCTGCCTTAAAGAACATTGGTTGAAAACAAATGATTTTGTTTGTTACCCTCTTCAAAATTGTAGTTACTTTTGTAGAAACGAAAAAAATTGAGAGTCTGTATAGTCATCATTCAATGACTTCTTCAGACATAGAAACTATTCCATAGCTGGACACCATTAATCAAATGAATATATTTATTAATCGCTAATTCCTAATTAAAAAATACATTAAAGCTTTACCTGTCGGATGATTTACCGCAAGTTAACATTAATCATTAATCCGTTAAAATACAATAAAAATTGCTTTTTTATATCGTTGTGTTGAATATCTACTTATAAGAACTGTTTGTTTTCGGGTTCCGAATATTAACAGGTTAGGACAAAAAAAGCCTGTATAGAGTGTGTAATTTTTAAGAACTGATAAATATCATTATTATTTCATTTCAATCAATGACCTTAATCCGACTGAAAAAAAATTCTGTTCAAGTTGTCAAACTGTGTCAGTTTTCTGTTTTAGATTTCTTGGGAATTGAAATGGAATTATATTTTCGCTATATTTTCATACGATCTGTCAACGAGTATCTAAAAAATCTTCTATAAAGTGAATTGCTATTTATATTAAGGAATCATGGACAATCCCATTCTTACATGAAATATTTTATAGTAGAACTGACATTCTTGAGATTGATAAATCATATATCCACAAAATAATCGGGATATTTCACAATTAAAATATAATCAATTCAGTGTCACGAAAAATGTTGCAAAATTGTCACGAAAATCGACCCAAAAAATACATCAAAAATATAGTGCGATAAGACGTTCATTTCTGTCGCAATTCAAATTGCAAAAAATAATTCTTAAAAAGAAGAATTTCGATGATATTTCTAGTGAACACAACATTCTTATAGTTTTTTAAAATTTCTATTATTTTTTTCTCGTAATCGGGCTACAGTTTTATTTAAAAAATTCAGATTTTCAAAACTTTAAATTTTTTTGAAAGCTGACCCTCAAATAATCATTCCAAATAATACTTACATAAAGGAAGTAATGGATGAGCCGTGATTCTCCGTATTCCATCAATTTTATGTTTGAGAACCTATTTAAGAAAAACAAAATTATGGTTTTTATCCATCGATGTGTCAAAGAACAAAAAGCATGCACATGTTCATATATCCTTATTTTCGATACGATTTCTGAAATATTTCTGTGGACTGGTAATTCTCATCAAGTACAACTGAATTATATTATCGACAGAAATGTTTTAAAATGAGAATCGGCAGCATGATGGAGGATAGCTTGACTACCTGTTCCTCTATAACAAATAGAAAATAGGGTAACCATAAGAGTGCAAACTGGAACACGACATTACATACAATAACGTGTGACAAATCTAAGTACTTTACCGTTTACTTAGTTATGCAAAACAATCCCAATATAATAGTCTAAGCAACAAGTTAAAAAACGTGAAAAATAGATATAAAATTTCTACAAATATGAGCAATGAGCAAATATAAGCCATTCGGAATGAACCCTAAAAATGCATTCGAAGGGTTTTACAGTGGGTAAAAAAATTACGATTTTTGTAAACAAAATAATTGAAGAAAAATTAGGTATTCCGATTTTTTGTTGATAACATTGAAACTATAAATATTTAAGGAATGAAACAAGAAAATTCTCAAAAAGGATAAGATTTACCATAAAAAAGTCCCGACTCCCGGAAATGTACCTCCATTATTTATAATTTTAATTTAACTCTGAAAATAGGGCTCCGCGCCCCTGTTTTACCTCACACACATAGCCGTTGGAAATAGCGTTCCACCNCTTCCTTGGCTAAAGAGTCGGCAATGCGATTACTTTTACTCCTGTCGTGCCCTTTAATCCACCCCAGGATAATGTTATTATCTACCGAGGCTTTGGCTAAATTCTGGTGCCACTCTATTTCTAACCCTGAGGTAACACCTTGTCTGTTCAAGGCTAATAGGGCTTGTCTGCTATTAGTGCAGATTGTTATGTTTTTGTGGCAATTGCGATACCAGCCAGTTCTGTTTGAACCACGCTGGTATTTTTCCCATTCCCTACTTAATCCTTAGGCTTAGTGATCTGGAGTACACTTAACATCCTGATACATCTGTATATATGCGTATTGCATTTGTAGCATCTGACTTTGTGTTCTGTTTTATTTGTATTTTGTAGGGTTTATTGAACACAAACCAGTGATGCCTACTTCGAGGTTTACACCAGCCGTGCGCAATCGTAACATGGCCATTAACGCAAGCTTCTTAACCTATCATAATGAATTCCTTTGCCGCGGTTGGTGTTGTTCTCATGGCTCCTGTGATGTTTAAACAACCCAATCGATGTATTTGATTTTTTTGGATGGCCGTTGCTTGTAGAACTTTCGGGGGGATCAATCCCCCTTGATCCCCCCTGGCTACGGCCTTGAATTGAGGTACATTTCTGGCAGCCGTGAATTTTTTATGGGGAATTTATTTTCTTATTCTTTGAGAGTATTTTTGTTTCATTCCTGAAATATGTATATTTTGGATGTTATTAACAAAAAATCGAAACACCTAGTTTTTCCTCGATTATTTTGTTTATAACAATCGTAATTTTTTACCCATTGTAAAATGCTACGAAAACCTTTTTCTAGGGCTCATTTCGAATCAAATAAGCCCTTGCCCATATTTTTAGGAGATTTACATCTATTTTTCACGTTTTTCAACTTGTTGCTCAGACTATAAAATAAAAATCAAGAGTCAAAATTACTAAGTTAGGTTCATAGCAGACTATTTGTGGCTAAATGTGAAGTGAAGTAAACGCAGTTCATCAGCTTTTATAAAGAAATTTCACAGTGTAATTGAAAAATCTGGTTGAACGCCTGATAAAATATGCACATTTCTTTACTTCACTTTACATTCATGAGGAAATAATTATACATCCATACTCATAATGAAAGTGAGCAATAATTCATGCAAAGCCTGGTTATTACATAACTGAATCTCGCATAATAATAACTTTAGCATACTGAAGAATTAAAAAACCAAATATGATTTGCATATTGAGCCGAGAAGAAATTCATTTTTACGACAAACAATTTTCAAATTCAAAGTAAATACTAAAACATTGAATCAACCATTTTAAATGGAACATCATTCAGCTTTGTAATAATCTTGAAGACACACAGACAACTCAATACACATTGTCAAGGGTGAGATCATATAACATTTCACAAAGTTTTGAACTTAAAAAGTCACCTCCAGCTATTCTGAAGAAAATCTCCAAAAAAAAAATCGATGATCGAAAACTATACTACACTTGCCTCCAATTACACAAATTCCCCGCCAGCAAATATTTCAAAAAATTCAATTTCCCAAGAATTGTACGTTATTAAATTTGTTGTTCGACAAGTGCAAGGCTCTGTCTCTTTGGATATTCTTAAACTTACATACCATGGACTGATTCTTTATTAAGCTATGATCTGATATTCTAGGATAACTCTGCTCACGTTCATAAAGTATTTATTATATATCACTCATAATGCAAGTGAAATATGTCTACCGCTTTCCTGTTTAGGCCTAGCACAAAACTGATTCACATATCTGGGTATCAAGTATTATAACCAATGTGTAAAATTAATTGGTGAAATAAAAAACATTGAAGTTTTCAAAATGGCATTCTATGACTTTTCGAATCATCATGCGGTTCATTCTGTAAATGCGATTTTAAATTTCCGTACTACTAATTCTGATATGTGAATTTATTTATGTGTATGTTTATATGTTTGGTTGTTTATGTTATATGTAACTGACTAGTCTGATAAATTTTGATACTGTGCTACTCTGTGTAAAGCGTCATGGATGAATAAAAATTATCTATCTATCTATCTATTGACAAGAGATGTTGAAAAAGAAGTAACT